GCTCTCGAGATGACAAACATAATAATTGTGGTGAGTTTTCGTCATCCTGCTAAAATAGCAAAGCTAAGCTAACAGAAATGTTATTTTCATACAACTACTGTGAAATGATCAGCTAACCCTGATTCAAGTGTAAGTGTGAAATTAGATCTAAGATGTTCTTAAGATAGTTAATTTTAATTTCTGATTTAGTTATATGAAACCAAACAATCTCATTATTTTCTCTAGAATCTGTCTACGCTGAGAAAAGTAGCATATAACAGTAATAATTTAAACGACACCTGTATATTTGAATTTCGCTTTCTGCAGAATACTCATATTTTACGACAAATCTATTCAGTCACAGTTTTCTTTTCATCGCGTCCTGTAATAAATCCCGTGAAAAAATTGGGTCAAACTTTCAAAAGCACATCATAAAAGTTCAGGAACCATTCGTTATCTCTTTAATTTCATTTCATGCGACAAGTAAAAAGATGAGAGGCATAAAACCATTAAATATATCTCTAGACACTTATTAAGTTTGTGCAGGAGGGGAAGTATTAGATCCTTCATCATGGAGTCGTTCAGCAATATGACTCCGTTGGAAATTAAGGTGTATTTCCGAACACAGCGTTTTGATAAGACAGCGTGAAACATATCAAACTTCTAAAAAAATATTTGTATTAACTATTAACTGGCGGCCGCCCGTGACTTCGTCCCGAGTCAATTTAAGTTTTTTGAGAATCCCATTGATTACTGATTTTATATCGGCATTATGAGTATATTATTGTCCCAATCTAGATCTTAAATTATTTGCGTACCAAATTTCATCGAAATTCGTATAGTAGTTTTTGCTTGATTGAGTACCAAAAATACAGACATTCAAACATTCAAATTTATTCTTACAGAAGACACAGTAACAACCATACTTTTGACTAATGTTGTCTTTTGTTGGAGGAAATCCAAAGATCGGGAGCTACAGCCAATTCGAAAATGTTGATAGCTCCTCTAATAATTGCCGCTTGTAAAACAAATAAAGTTTGTAACCAATGGAACTCAATAATTGCAGACTTAATTATCCGATACACTAAAATCTTATCGAGGAATCGTCTTATTAATATTTTCAACATATTTGTCTATTTTAACTAAACGCGATTAAATGATTGTTAAAGTAATTGAATAGTGCTTTCGCTTCCACCCGCTACACTCGGGGACACAGCTTTAGATACACGGTTAAAGGGAACGATGGAATGCGGATCCCTTTCTTACTTTTGTCGCGTAAAGTAACATGAAACTAAATCATAGCGATGAAAAAGTAATTGAAAAAAGTGTTTTTTTAATATACTGGTATTCATACGTTTAATATTGTTGATTTTTTACTTTAGTTTAGTTTTAGTTGTTGCATAAATAAAATAAATATGATTATAAATAGAGCCGTTTAGCAATGGCCTTTATTTAGAAAAAGCTTGATGTGTTTTGTTCTACATAGAATGAATTTTGGTGCTAAGCACACATTTTCAGGAATCACAAGATAGATATTGGAAAAGGCCATCTGAAGTACTTACATGTCTGATTTTTAATAGGAATGGTTGGAGAAACATTTCTTGTCTAGAGCTTCTCCTTGCTTTGAAAGTTCGTGCTGGCTGCCTCTGTTGTCGTAAGTAGCCACCAATCCACACCGAGCCCTATGGGTCATAACCCGTTATTCCTATTAAGACCATACAAAAGAAAAATAAACACGTCCATTTTAAACAAACTTTTACACCCAACTTTGAAATATATCCAACGAATACCTGCAAAGCGGGTCAGTATTCCGGGGCCAAGTGGATTAACCGAATAGAATATGGTACTTTTGTTCATAAAACCTAAATTACGTTGTGGAAATTTTATCGTCCCAACTTTCAGCTCCTAAAAGTCACTTGAACCAGATATCAAGCAATTTATGTACATTTCTTTACTTAATAAAAGAGAAATTTCTATTCAATCTTTCGGAGAATGTTTGTGTAATATATTTTTGTGATTGATTGATTTGCTTAATTTTAACGCAATTGAGTTGAAATCATATCATATTTGAATTATCCGTGTATTTATTTACTTTATTTATTTTGCATTATAAATGTCAGAGTTTTTTTTATATATACAGCGTATTTCATAATTAAGAATATTATGAACAGCATCAATATATTGCTACGTAGCGTATATATTTTATTACCTTTCACAATTTAAATTATGACTGATTAGTTTTTTTTTGAAACTGAATCACATCAAATCTTTAAGATATTAATGATATTGTATATGAGTTTCTTGTAGATATTATTGAATTTCAATATTCGGCTACACGATTCATACTATGTTTAGATGTTTAGTGCATGTCGTTAATTCCTACAGCTCAGTGCTTAAACTGCATGCATATCTCAACGCATTAAACTAATTTCGCCTATTCAAGGACTTGTAGACCAACTCAAGATATTACTGAAAATTACTTGAAACTCTGCAGTGCAGCATCGTCAGACTGTGCTGGGTTTAATTAACAAAAGGTTATTTCACATGATAGCGCGGGCTAAAACTTTCTGAAAAAGCATTGGATTTTAATATGCACTCAGTAGAAAATAGAACTTCATAATATTCCTTTTTCTTTAAACCGATACGAAACAAAGTAACTAATTCGTATATTTTAGACAGAAGTACTAACAATAAATATTAGTTTTTTTATATGTCATTTTTGACATGGGTGACAAACAAGCGTACGGCCCACCTACCCATACCAAAAATATCACACGCACCGATTCTGGGCCCAGACCCAATCCCCTACATCGTGGTATTGTATTATCTTTCCTGGCAAAAGTTTGAACTAGTTTGATGAATTTTGATAAACGTTTATATACTATCTAGTGATACTGTGATTAAGAAAACTATGTCTACTCAAATAAAAGCACAGACTAATGAGAGCGACTAATGAATTTACTAAATTAATCTGCCATCAATGTAACTCGAGTAAGGTACCTAGATGCTATTTCCGCTTTAATTCGAGTTTGTCTTTCAATTCATTTAATAAATCGCATGTAAATGTATAAATGTGGTAACATTTTGTATTAGCGACTGCCCTAGCAATGTATAAATATTGTTCTTAGTAATATATAATGCAGAATGGCTGAATATTTATAATTTCTATGAAAAGGGGCTCAGAAACTTTTGATAAAGTGACAATCTTGAAAATTGTGAGATCTCCTACGACGTCATTACCTTGCTACATTTGATAAAAGATGTTGCCAATTATTTACAGAGCCATCAATTTCGCATTGTCTTAGAATATTTCTTCACATATTAGAGATAGATAGATTAACACTTTTTTAAAAGTAAAAATAAATACAAATAATCTGTTGTTGTCGGCCTGACTTGAAATCTGTAAAGTTTTATTTTGTTCATTTGCAAAAGCAAAGCCTTCTCTCAAGCCTGATCAGAAAAATAAAATCTATTATTTAATCAAATAAAGGGCCAAATATGTCATACTTTTTGGGAGTTTTAAATTAATATTGTTTATTTCGATATACTGACAGAAATATTTTTTAGTATACATTTATTGTTCATTTATTTTAGTAAAACGGAACATTTTTCTTTTGAAACAGACATGAAGTCAATTTTTATACTTTTAAATATTTGATTATTTCACGAAAGTTGTATGAGAATTATAAACACGTAATAATTAATAAAAAAATATTATAAAATTATGGGCTAGTGGAAAATAATTATACACGTTAAGGGCAGTTTCTTAGCCATGTCCTTTATGTGAGATGTGTGAATCGGCTCTTTCTGGGTAAGCACGCTACACCGTAGATCCCATTTCTGTTCTCGGGCCGGATAGAGGATGAAGAGCTTACCCATTAACAAAACCTTAAAAAAATGCGAAATTATTTGTCAGATTTGATCCCCAAAGTTTTAAAATTTTCCATGTATATTTATGTCTTGCTGTTGACGATTTGCGTATTTCGTATATGTTTTTATGTTTTGTGTCAACGACGAAAGGGTGGGTATGGTTTTAATTGAATTTAGTGTAATATCCTTTTAACGATATTATTGTTTCTCCAAAATATAAAAAGTTCAACTTTTCTACCGTTCAAGCTCTGACGTCTTGACAGGATAGTACATCGCAAAACGCTTAACCGTTAAAAAATTCAACACCACCATTATTTCCTCAACAGAGAGGTTTCGCTGCGGTATATTATTAATTATTAAAGTCCACAGTCTCCCCGGGAGCCTTGATTTTGAGAAGAGCTACTAACTACTTAAAAACAGAGCTCATCTTCGTTTACTCGAAAGCTGCCTATCTTGGCCTCATGAAAAAATTAACTTTCTTGAGCTACGTTTTAATCTCTCAGGAATAATAAATTGCCTACTCTCAAATGTAAATAACGCCGCAGAGTTGAATTATCAAACCACCATTAAATAGGTGCTTCCTCATTTAAAATTAATTAATAATCCGAATTAAAATTACGTTAATCAACTTAACTGTATATTACAAAAATGAGGTTAATATACATTTCCTTTTGATTTAGACGTAAAAGTCTAAGAAAAATTTATCTTTTTAACTTCTTAATACTTCACTTAAGACAAGAGCGTTTATATGCGTAATAATAGAAGTACGCGTACACGACGTAGGAAAATTACCACTAAATTCTGGGTGAAAGTAAATAAACATGCATACACACCTTGCCAATTTGATCGTTGAATTATTCATGTTGTCTCACATAGGCACACCTGAGTGAGGGTTGAGGGAAAAGAGGACCTCTTGAAATAGGAGTCGTATCGTCGCCCGAGGGGTAGCATAACGAAATGGGCAAACGCCGTACAGCCTCATTTGAGGACATAAATAAAAAAAATATGAAACCTTTCCCCGTTGCCTTTTTGGGTGTTGTATGCAGCCTCATTAGTGCCGCAATCGAACTTATAAGTAAAAATGACGTTAATGAATTGTCGCATGTCACGTTCGTTAGCAAAGTCAGAATAGTATATATACTTTAAAATTCATGGCATCTGTTTCGGGGTTTTTACCAAGTGCTAGTGATTTTTATTTAGAGTTACAAGATCGTGCGGACTTAGCAGAGGCTCGTCGTCACGAGAGATTTCTGGCTGTGTTGCTGCTGCAGCGCGTAGCTCGCAGTTATCTTATACGTAAACACATAGCGTGGTTATCGAAGAATGCTACGATCATCCAGTGCGCGTTTAGGGTTCATATGGCGCGAAAGGCCTATCGAGCTGCCTTGAGGCGTGCCGTACGGAACAAACACGCCAGACATTACGCTCGCGCTGCGACAATTATACAGGTGAGTTATTAGAGCCTATATTTCTTTGCAGTTTTATTGTTTTCAAAGATTGATCTTCACAGTATTTGAATTATTTAGAAGATGTAATTCAGTACCGTTTGTAGTACCTACAAAATCTTAAAAAAGAGCGGCCGCACGAGAATTCAGTTTCTTTAACTTTATTTTTTTGAGAATCACTCGGGAACCTAACTTTTTTTGGGATAAAAAGTATCTTATGTCTCAGTCTAAGTAATAAACTATATGTGTGCCAAATTTCACTCAAATCCGTTTAGCCGTTTTTACGTGATTTAGTAACAAACATAATATTATAAGGATAAGAATCGTTACAATTTCAGGCACTCTACCGTGGTCATCGTTCAAGACGTTTGAAATTCTGTTATCATTCATACCGCCGTTGGTTGAGGACTGTCACAGAAAGAGGTGAGAGGCAAGCGGCACAAGCAGCAGAGTTTGGAATCCGAAGTAGAGCTGATGACCTGAAGATCCTCGAAGAGGAAGCACGGCAATGGTTGGCCTTCGTGGTCTTTAAGCTCCATCATTTACTTAGGACTTACGTTTCTGCGGGAGTGTACTCGGAGCCAGCAACCTCAGAACTTACAGAATTCGAAAAGCTACTGGCATCTATCCAGTACACCGAATACATGAAAAAATTAAAAAGGAAATATGATGAGTTCGTCAGGAAGCATCAACAAAAATTTTCGAACAAACGCCTCTTTCCCATAATTGGCGACGGAGCTGATTACTGGTACATGTCCTTGCCCGAAATGTATGAATTAACCGCTCCACCCGTTAAAAAGAAGTCTGATACGAGACATAGAGCGACACATCACGGTCCCATCCACAAGGAACCTTTTCTATGGAGAAAAGCTAGACAGCCAAGTCCTGGTCAAGGGAGGGGCCCTTTTATGCCACCGAAAACTTCAGTGTCAAGAACACCACCTACCCCAGCCCCGACGCCTACAGCAGCAGGTGACGTATTACACAAAGATCCAAGATTTCACCTATATGTCAAACATTATACCCCCCAACCGGAACTCTTTGATTACGTCGACTTTCATATAAACGTCCTTCTGAGAAGAAAATGTTCAATAGAAAATATAAACGCAAAATAATTTGAATTGAATATCAATAAATACCTTCCCACCTTGTTTTGTTCCGTTTGAAAATGCTGTTTTTATATATGGTCGCGTATTATTCCTTCTTTTATATTTCTTGCTCGGAAATCCGTAATCAGGCTGCTAAGTTTGGAAGGGTCGTCCGGATGTTGCGAGCCGCGAGCCTTTTGTTGTTATGCTTTTGTTATTGTGAATTTTACACTTGTAATTTATTTCAGGAAACGCCTCGGTGAGAAAGAAATTACGTTAAACTCTCCAAGGAAAATGTGTTTTGTAAATTAACATTTCGCCTCTGTAGGTTTTGAGGTCGGAGTATTTTATTTATTGTAGAGATTATAAAAAGCGTTCAGAGCATTTTCATATTCATTAAGTTTTTATTTATATTGGTTCGTGGCTTAATTTTTAGGAAAAGCCGATAGTCATTTCTGTGTTTTTCTGATTATTGGTTTAATTTTTATAAATGAAAAACAAATTAGGATGTTCGGTTATTAGGGTAAGTTTATGGACTTTTAACCGAATATCGTAACTAACGTCCATGAAAATAAAAAATGCTAAAGTAACAGAAATAAATATGTTTACATTTTACAAATTGGAGTGGTAGTTTTTGAAAATTTACCATGCAATTGCGTAGCACGCGTGTCTTATAAAAAAGACTTAATCAGACAATTACAATAAGACTTCTCATCTAGGTCTTTTTTCGTCAATAACTTCTAAGAATATGTATTTTCCTTAGAAAGCTTAACTATACGGGAAAACAATTATGGCTTATGAATCCAATTATGGTAATCTGTTCAGTACTTATCGAGGTTATCTAGTAACTGTCACAACAATTTTATTATTTATCAAGCGAACAAAAACAAATGTTTACTTATCTATGAATTCCTTTTTTGTTTTATAACTACGTACCTACAATTTGCCTTTGACAAATGATCCGCCCAATAGTTTCACAACATATTTGGGTTCGCACCTTTGCAGGTATTCGTTGGTACTACATCTAATATTCGCGCGTAAGTCTTCCGACTCATTTGTCTGACAATACCCGTTTGACTCGGCAAATTTATTAGGGTCAGAATAATGCAGGTTGCGGGTTTCTGAATCTCCTTATTGCAGACGGTCTTAGACGGGAGCCCATTTGTTAGGCGTATAATAGGTGACCCACTTTACTTATGCTCTGTACCAGTTTGAATAGGGTGTGATTTCAAATCGCAAGCCCACATAGACAATTACTCCATTGCCCCGTGACAGTGACATATATGGAAATCCCTATACGGATCTAACAATATTCGATACAGGCATTGTAATAGACTCTATTTCGAGGCTGTGTTTAATTTGCCAGCAATCAAATTTTGAGACGGTGTCGCCCGTTCTATTTCTAATCAAACAAACAATTCGATAGAATATGGCCAAATTTAGATTAACTAAACTTAGTAAGTTACATTCATGACAAAGTAATTAGCAGCTGGCTTATGTATCAATATGTTATTTTTAGATCTTATAATTATAATCACATGCTTCACGACACAAGAAGTTCATGTATTTGTTTAAGAAACTTATTAAACGGGTATCAAGATACACTACTACACTTCATTTTTACCACTGATCGAAAATAATGTTATGGTCAAATAACACATTTACTTCCGGACTTCAAGCACTATATTTTTTTAAACCATAGGTCTAAACTATATCTTACATTCAGATGCAAAATTTTCTTCGACTGTAACTGTGGAGCTTTCGTTGGGGGTGTTTGATACATGAATAATGTATAGGGTAAATTTGCAAGTGTTTCAATTTACACCCGCCGACACTCCTCTGATACGCACCCAACAGTTGAAGAGCAAAAAGAAAAAACGCAAGGGGCCCTATTCTAAGCTAACGTGGTGCGAGCGCCTATTTGCCACTCGCGTCATAATTATTCTGTTGTGCGTTGTAAGTTTGAATGAAGTGAGCTTATTATAAGTACTTATTATGTGGAAGCTTGTTTGTTATAGATTTCGTTTTCAAAGAGATCTATTAATTTTAATATTTTTCTCATGATATTGATCAAAACCAACAATAACAATACAATTGTTATTAGGAATATAAGAAAATACAAGGCAAGTGCGAGGTTAACTATTTATTTTTATAGCGGTAGTAGTAAGTAGTAAAAAGCATCTACACATTTTGTGAAAATTTCAACTGTGTAATAGTTATCTCATTGATAAAGTTAATTTATAATAGTGAGCTGATTTATGGGCAAACGGACGAACTAAAAACGAAGGCCCAGTATCAGTTACTTAAGTGGTATTGTTACATTTTAATTCATTGGATATTTATTTAAAGAATCATAAAACATTGAGGGTGTTCTATTGATACATTTTGGCGTGAGTTTATAATGTAATAGAAAATATATGCGTTAAAATATGTATTTAACTAAGTAGAGTCGAATAAATTAGCCCACAGGAAAATATCTGTCAATGAAATTAAATAAAATGAGAAGAAATAGCGGTGTAATTTGGCAAATAATACTGGTTCGCCACTACGGAGCCATTCTTAATTTATCGGCGCGTGCTCGTTTCGATTTCGTTTCTGTACCGAATCGGTAAATCTTCTTTACCGGTTGCATGTAATTTCTCGCTGAGCAGTTTCGGTACAGATCCTTTACCGATCGCATACACATCTGTCTGTACCGAGAGGTTCCGAGCCATTCGAATCGTCGGTCCCGTCACTCCTGCTTCACCCCGCAATAGCAGCTGCAAGCAGCAGAATTAATACCGCACCGAAACCTCTGTTGTTCTCTCCTGGTAAACAATCTGTACAGATTCGGAACAGAAACTAAAATAAAACTACCATATCAGGCCGATCAGGTGAGAAAGGCGCTTTAGAAACAACTATAACAATGTAAATTTTTAAGCGTGAGAAACTTATAATTTTTTTCTTCTACTACCATCATTACTACGTCCCTAAGGGTAGCTTATATGTCCACCTTAAAATGCACCATACACAATTCATAGTGCGCTTGTACATATATAATATAAAGTTATGTATCAAGAGCTAAGAGTGAAAACGAAGATTATTTAAGACTTGAGCCCTCCCGCGACTTCGTCCGTGTTACCCTTAGTTTTTTCAGAATCCTAGAGAAACCTGTCATTTTTCCGGGATATAAAGTATCCTATGTCTCAATCCAGGTCATAAACTATATAAATACAAAATTCCATACAAATCTGTTCAGTAGTTTATGCGTGATTGAGTAAGAAACATACAAACTTTCACATTTATATATTAGTTGGATAGCTCCATATAGATTTATAGCTTTTATTCAACTTCATAACACTTATTTTTTAACTCTTTACGTAGGCATCTCCTCCAAGTCTGTGCTTGGTTTATTTTTTTACATTTGTACAGAATTGCAAAGGGGAACATTGTGCTTATCACGCGCGGTGCATTGTAAAGCTGTTAGGATTGAAATAGATTTTTCGTTACATTGTGTGTTCACAAAGAAGGTATGAATTATTTATTATATTGGATCAGGAAGTTCATTTTTTTTAATTTATAACTTACGAAGCATTTTGTTTACTAATTTTTAAATAATAAACCTGCTTCTCTTCTCAATAATCCATCAACAAGCTAGTACATTGGCATTTCTACAATTCTAAATCCTAACTTATAAATGCGAATGTGATTTTATTTGTTTGTTTTTTTACGCTTTCACGCCTAAACAGATTTAGATTTGGTACGCATATAGCTTATGAGCTGGATTGAGACATAGCATAATTTTTATCCCGGCAAAGTGGAATTCCCGAGGGATTTTCAAACAACTAAAAAAAAAAACACGGACGATTATTATAGTTTATAAAGAAATGGGATTTACGGGCTTTTGTTCAGTAAAATATTTATTCGTGTAGACTTGTCACAGCGCCTGCTTTATAAAGTTGGCATAATTCTTCAACATTCGTAACAGCTGGTCATCAAAAAAAATTCTGGAGCGCCGTGCTTTAGAAGGCACGTTACGGTTGCGTTAGCGGTTGGTTTCGGTTGCATTTGCAGTTGTTAACTTCTGTCAATCCGTCCTTCTGGAAGGGGAGTTTAATAGGGCATAGCGGACTTTCCGATTGAATTGCAGCGCCCGTCTGCGATAGTAACGTCCACCTTATAAAGACCGCATCAAAATAACACTACCTTTTGGTGGAGTTGTTAAGTTGATAAGTAAGGTTCTCCTAGGGTTAGGGAAATTGGTGTGTGATATTTTTGTCACTTACCATCAGGCGGTCCATACGCCACCCCTTTACCCCCACGACAATGGCTCACTAGAGCCGAGTTCCGAGTCTCAGTTGAGCCGACCTACTCAGGAGTGGTCTAGAGGCTCCAGGCGGAGAGGAGACTCCCCTCGTGGGGAGATGCCATCCGCCTGGAATACCTTTAGAGGCACTCGCTAATTCTCAGCTTGAGGTCCCCTTAGGATCTCTCGCCATCCCTAAACCCGGTGACGCTGTAAAGGTCAACTGCGACCAATAGCATACACACTCAAAAAAAAACACTCCTATGACATATAAATGTGTTCTTCCTATTCCGCAGGATTCGAATCAGTATCTTATTTTAAATGTGGGAGTTACATCATTATAAAATAAACATTTGAGTGAATTAAAATGCATGAATGTAATCTATTTTACATACTTGTGATTAACTACTTAACCTTGATGATAAATCATTGAAATAGTGTTTTTATTAACAACCGCACTCAGAAGTCAATTAAATTGAAAGCTTAAATAAAAGTAAACTTCAAACAAAAATCTGATAAAATTTAATATTATAGACGCTTCTTAGTGCGACAATTACAGCAGTTATTTCTTTATCTGAAAACTCTTGGGAAATCTAATTACTTTCTCGTGCTAAACCACTAAGTTATTATGAAAATAAAACGCTATCCGTTTTCCAATGTATATTTAAAGACTTACTTCTTCGACTTAAATTTACCTACCTAATACCGAGTAACTTTTACGGGGCAATCTAAAAACATTGTC